GTTTAGATTGAATGGTAATTTATAATCAGTCACAAGAACGTCGAATCTGAATCACTTGAAAAAAACACGGGGGTGCTTAACTTTTTTCCAGGTGTATATATAGTAATCTACACAAAGTTTCAAAATTACCTGCAGAAGATTCAAATCATTGTTATCTTTATGATTAGAATAGATAGAATACATCATGGGATATCAGAATAAGATGTGGCAGCTACAAGCCACTGTTACTCCTTTAGTTCAGAGAATATTTAAAATCTTCATAGCACTGTTGAATATTGACACCATTGCAGCTAGAATACACAGAATCTATCATCTACTGCTAATTTACAGGAGCTTTTCTGTAATACCACTGATATCTATATAATCCAGCATTTGGTGTCAGAGTAATCTACAGCAACTATACTGTTAGTATTGCTACCTATGGAATCCATCAATTGCTGTTACAGTAATCCACAGCAACTATACTGTTAGTATTGCTACCTGTGGAATCCATCACTTGCTGTCAGACTTATCCACAGCAACTATACTGTTAGTATTGCTACCTGTGGAATCCATCACTTGCTGTTAGAGTAATCCACAGCAACTATACTGTTAGTATTGCTATCTGTGGAATCTATCACTTGCTGTTACAGTAATCTTCAGCAATTATAATGTTACCATTTTTATCCATGGAACTCACCACTTGCTGCCAGAATAACCCAAAACAACTGCATACAGGTATAACATACACTTGTTTTTAAAGTAATACACAACTGTTTGGTATTAATAGAAACATTACTTAATTTCAGAAGCTCACAGCATTATCAGGTTAGTGTTCTTATCATAATTAAAACTTTCATCTAGTTTCACAATGTCTGCTGATCAGGGTGTTAAATATGATAATAGTATTTAAAATAGCCTGCTGTCAGAGTGATACATAGAAGCTGAAGACTCGATTATTGCTGTGTTTAAAATACATGAGAACTTAAACTTGCTGCCTGAGTACTACTACAGAATTTATATGACATCTTTTTTTTATTACAGTTGTCAGTGTGACCCCCCTTCTTCTGAAATAACTATGGCAAATAGAATAAACTGAAATATTGACCTGATTTTAATGTGATTAAACTTATATTTAGGTTAGTTAAAAACTGTCTCCTGACTTTAAATAATCATAAAAGCTTTTGCACGTCAGTTGTTCTCAGTATTTTCATGTTACGTAGAAACTTTCACTTGCTTGTCAGAGTTTTCATATCTATGTATTATACAAGTTGTGCAATACCAAATGTATGTATTTATTTATTAGTCAGGTTAAATAATAACAGCTGTTTCTGGAATTTTATTTAAAATTAGTTTTTTGAAAGTGTGATACTGAGTTAAATGGTCTGAATCAATGCCATTCTGATAGTTTACTTGTTCCTTTGAAAATAAATATGCTAGAGATGTATTATAATATAATGTGTAGGTAAAAGTTAATTGGAATCTGCTCTCTCATATTTTTAAATATTTTTCCATATAATGTAGCAAACCTAATTTTTTCATTTGATATATATATTCTCCACTAGGTGATGACTTTATGCTGGAATCATGGACTTTATGATGGCATCTTCTACATTTACAACCGTGGAATGGATGACTATATAACTCCTTTTGAAGTAAGTTGAATGTGTACTCCAGAGGAGAAAGTGAAAATTTCCTGTTGGATTGTAATTCATCAGATTATTGAAAGTTTAGCTGAAAACTGTGTTAAGAGTAAAGTGAACCAGATTAGACTAATTTAGCTTGCTTGAATAAGCCTGATAGTAAATGTGTAGAATTTCCTAATTGCATGTACACATGTACATGATTTGTGTATTTCTCCCACAGTTTTTAACACAATGACTTACATTTTGCATGTAGGCTCTTGACTCACACAGAATATAAATGAAGAAAAAAAACTGGATAATGAAGGTGGGGGGTCAAGTGGTTTTATAACACTTAGATTTGCTGAACCAATTTACTTAAAAATGGGTATTAAGAAGATAAGTAGCCATTTGAAATAGCCTAAATTTATATGTGAAAATGTTTAAATTTGAGTCACCATGATTTGGATCAAAAAGGTTTTTGAGACTATCAAAACTATATCTGCAGACTTGCATGAATATTTGCATAAATATATAAAACATTGTTCAAAATAAATAGTTGAAAGTTCTTGAGAGTGGCAGCAAAGATTTACTTGGAGATTATCAAAAAATGTAAATTATTAGCTAAAACATGGTTTTCAAGATATTTTTTGCATAGTTGTTGTTTCTCAAAAATTTTCATTCATCATATGGCTGTAGTATTGCATAAATCTGGTTCCTTATCAGGTTTGAATGAATGTGATATTAGTATTGTAGATTTCTGACAAATCATTATAGCATGTTTGGATAGAGCTGGTTCTACTGTATTCAGTGCAAAGAAACTTTATTCCAGTGTATCAGTTTAAAGAAACCTGATTCTAGTATTATATTATATATTATTCCTTTTTTATACATTTAAATAGACCTTAATCTATAGTATAGTTAAATTTGCATTAATGTAGAATTGAGTAAACTTTGTTTTTATGTATTAGATTTAGAGGTACATAATTCCATTGTTGTAGATAAACTTAATTGCATTATATAGTGTATGGATAAACCTTATGCAAGACTCACAAGTTTGAATAACTTTGGTTTCAGTATAATGTTGCTTGATAAACCTAATACAAAAATGGTATGTGTGGGTAAGTATGATGTTAGTGTAATGGCTTTGAATAAATTGTATTCCAATATATTAGATATGTATGAATCTGAATTTAGTTGCTGGATAAATCATAAACCTGTAGTATGTTTACAGAAACCTTATGACAGTGATTAATTAATGAGTTGAAAAGTAATTAAATGATTTAGCTGTTTTTAAAAATTATATTTATACTAAAGTCCTACTGTATAACTAAAATTAACAATTAATTTGTGTACATAAGTTTTAAATATTTTGATTGAAAACTCTACCACTTTAACCCTGTCACCAAAATTCAAAAT